CTTCTTTCCTTTCCTCCTGTGCTTGCTCAGACAGACTTCGATTAATGCCTGTCTGGGTGCAGGTCCTTGTTCCTGGTTGCTTTCTTCAGGTTGTGTTCCTCCTCTTAGTATTCTTTGTAATGCTGGCTTAATGTTTATGTATTCATTTAGTTTTTCTTTGTTTTTAAAATTTTTCAGTTCTCCATCAAATGTGAATGCTACCTTTGCCAGGTATATCAGTCTGGGTTGGCAGTTATTGGCTCTCAGGGCTCGTATGGTACTTTCTCAGGCCTTTCTTGCATTCAGTGTTTGTGTGGAGAGATCTGCAGTGATTCTAATTTTTTCCCGTTGTAGTATAGCTCTTTCTTCATTTTTGCTGCATGCAGGATTGTTTCCTTATTATTCAGATCCATCATTTTTACTATAATGTGTCTAGAAGTGTTTCTCCTGGGATCTTGCTTGTTAGGTGTTCTATATGCTTCTGTTATATAGGTAAGATGTTCATTTTTGAGATGAGGAAAATTTTCACTGATTATCTTGTTGAATAGGTGTTGCATTTCCTTGCTTTGATATTCCTCACCTTCGTCCACTCCAATTATACGAAGGTTAAATTTCTTGGCACTATCCGTTTGCTCTTGATTTTCCCATTGGCATAATTTAAGTGATTTTTCCATATCTGTCATTTTTTGGTCCAGTTGGTATATTCTGTCTTCTGTATCTGACACTCTACATTCCATTTCGTTCACTCTTTTAACTATGGCTTCCATTGTGGTTTGCATGGAGGAAATGGACTCATTTATGGATTCGATGTTGGTTCTCAGAGTACTAATCTCACCCCTTATTGAGGTGTGTATTGCCTCTATTTTTGCACTAATCTCACTTCTTATTGAGGTGTGTACTGCCTCTATTTTTGCATGCATCTCCTGTTTGATATCCTGTATCTCTTTCAATATTTCGACCTTGTGTTCTTTCAATTTCTGGTCTATTTCTTGCTTTATTTTTTTTCTTTTTTTTTAATTGTGAAAATACTGTACAGAGGGGTTACAATTACAGGAGCAAGATAATGAGTACATTTCTTTTTTTGGGGGGGGGTCCGGTCATGGGCCTGAACTCTGGGCCTGGGTGCTGTCCCTCAGCTCTTCAGCTCAAGACTAGCACTCTACCACTTGAGCCATAGAGCCACTTCTGGCTTTTTTTTCTGGTTATGTGGTGCTGAGGAATTGAACCCAGGGCCTCATGCATGCAAGGCAAGCGTTCTACCACTGAGCCACCTTCCCAGCCCCAATGAGTACATTTCTTATCAAGCATTGTAGCCTCCTCCTTTGTTTCCCCTTCCCATCCTTTCCCTTCCTCCCCCTGCCCCCCAGTCCTCTTCCCCCCCCTCCAAAGTTGTAAAGTTCATTTTCGACATCGCGACTTGTACATCTCTCACTTTATTTCTTGAGTCCTTGCCTCCAGCATCTCTTGGATGTAGCTTTTGTCTTCCATTCCTTCTTTGCTCCCACTGGAGCTCTCCCCTGCGTGGCTGCTAGCTATTGGGGATAACTTGCTATCCTGGGTGTTGATAAACCTTGTAATTTTTCTCTTTGATTTTCACATGGGGATTCAGAGATTATTGGAGACTAATCTGAAATTTTGTTTTGGTCAATAGGTGTCTTTGCTTGGTTGCTGTTTCTGTGCTGGTAGAGAGAGTCCATACATGATCTGGGTTCTGTTGGGGGCCGACCTACAGCTGCTGGTCTGACCCACATAGGGTTCTCGGCTCTCTGCTGTAGATCACTGGCAGTTCCTGCTTTAGAAGTGTTGAGCAGCCTAGACTGCTCCTGTTTGCTCCTACAGGTGTTCTTGGAGAGATCAGATGTGCTGGATGCACTCTCCCAGATGCTGGAGTCTGCTATGGGCTCCTGATTTTTTTTGGCAGGTTGTGGGCTTGAACTCTGGGCTAGGGGGCTGTCCCTTAGCTCTTCAGCTCAAGGCTGGCACCCTAGCACTTGAGTCACAGCACCACTTCTGGCCCTTTCTGCTTATGTGGTGCTGAGGAATCAGATCCAGGGCCTCATGCACCCAAGACAAGCACTCTACTGCTGAGCCACCTTACCAGCCTGAGCTCCTGACTATTATCAGGTGCTGGCAGCCTGTGTTGTCCAATTCCCAGCCTAGAATATATGGGTCGGGTTCTGGTGGGGTTTGGGTTTCTCTTGTCCTGAACCCCCGGGTCTTTTGCTGTCACAGGTGTGATTCCCAGGGGGTGCATATTCCTGTTCCCCCCCCTCTGCTGAGGCATATGCTCAACTTCTGACTTCAGTTGGGAGGAGTTGATTGTGTTGCTCAGGCACCGGATCCCCAGGCCTGGTCCCAGCCCCCAGCCTGGGGCACACCAGTTGGACCTGTGCTGCTGTGTATCCAACCTAGGTTACGCAGCCTGGACTACACAGTTCAAATTTCTTCCACTGTTGGGTGTTTTGACCCAAGAGCACTGTTCCTGGCTTGGGCATTTAAGCTCCCTTTAAGGGGCACTACTGCTCTAGTCTGGCCAGCTGGGTGTGGTCCACGGGCTGGTGGAGCTCTCGAACAGTTCCCAGTTTTAGTGGGTCCTGGGGTCCACGTGTTGGGGTAGGGTGTCTGGGTCAGGGTCTGGGGATTCTCACCAGCTGTGGTCTCCCTTGAGGGATACACTGTCCACTGTGGGGTACTCACCCCACACTCATCTCAATGTTGTTTTGATTTCCAATTCTTTTATGACTAGACAAGTTGAACATTTTTTCATGTGTCTATTGGCCATCCTTCTTTCCTCTTCAGAGAAGTTGCTCTTTAAGTCTTTAGCCCACTTATTTATCAGGAAGTTGTTTCTTTGAAGATTTCTTGTTGGGGGATTTCGTTTTTTGAATTCAAGTATATTTTAGATATGAGACCCTTGTCCGTTGTATGGCTAATGAAAATCTTCTCCCAATCCGTAGGCTTTCTATTGATTTTGCTAGCTATGTCCTTTGCCATGCAGAAACTCTGTAGTTTAATGGAACCCCATTTATGTAGATGTTATTTTATTTGTTGTGTTTCTGGATCTTTTTTAAAGAAATTTCAACATGTTCCAAGGAGATCTAGTGTATCCCCTATCCCTTCCTGTGATATTTTCAGGGTATCTGCTCTTACCTCAAGGTCTTTGATTCATTTGGAGTTGATTCTGGTGCAGGGTGATATAAAAGGATCTAACTCCAGTTTTCTACAAGTGGATAGCCAATTCTGCCAGCAGCACTTGTTGAAGAAGCTGTCTTTCATCCCTCCTATGTTTTAGGCTTCTTTATCAAAGATTGGTGGCCATAAGTCTGTGAGATCATTTCAGAGTCTTCAATTCTATTCCATTAGTCCTGAGGCCTGTTCATGTGTCAATACCAAGCTGTTTTTATAACTATGGCTGTATAACAGAGTTTGGTATTGATATTCCTACAGCACTTTTTCCTGATCAGGATTATTTTTGCTATTTGGTGTTTTTTATTATTCCATATGAATTTTTAGATTGCTTCTTCTATTTCATTAAAGAATGCTGTTGAGGATTCAGGGGAAGATGGTGCTGAAACAATAGTGAAACGCCCTGACTCTCCCTAACCGAACAAGATTTGGTGTGCTAACACTCAGTTCTTCCAAGAGATTAACAACAAATAAATGAATAAGCAGAGAATCACAGGAACTGAAAAAAACTCATAATTTACACAGGTAAGAATGGAAAATCACGAAGGCCTCTCCCGCATCCCGCATCTAACAGCACTTATCAGCGGCTAAAGTGGCCCATGGCTGCTAAGACTCCAGGAGAACCAGTGGACTGCAGAATCTAGACGCAGAAAACTCCCACAGCCTGAACCAGGACATCGCAGACAGAGACAGAGACCAGAAACAAGACACTGCCACATCCAGACCTGGAGAACTCCCCCAGGCCACCCAACAGCCCACAACCACCACAGCTATGCTATGAGAGCAACCCTACAGCGGCCTGACACACTAAACTGGTGAGCCGCAGCGCACAGATACAGAGATCTGCCACAGGACCACCCGTCAGTCCACAATCAGTTCTAGAATCAGTGATGACCCCCCTCTCCTCATGGGAGACTAGCGCTGGCAGTGACCCAAGGGGCTTGACCCGCTCTCCCTCCCACCCAAGAACGAACACCACACTTGAAGAAGACAAGGAGGCCAGATCTCTTCCTCACTCCCCTCCGCCCCACCTGTTAGCATCCAGTGTGAGGCCACAGGTTTTCATACTTAACATGCGCAAGGACCCTGTGTCCTCCACAGCCCTATCAGAAGAGGCCAGTCTGAGAACAAAAGTCCACACACTTGCGGGGACCCGCCCTTTGATCCCAGACTGAGTCCACCTCCCAGCCTTCCATAACAGACTGGTCTGAACCCACAGCTACGGGCAGAGGGCTCTCCTGCCAGGAACCATGAAATACACGTACATGCCGGCCACTGGCAGAGCATTCCCCAACCAGAGCCGCTAAGCAAGTGCACACAAATTGCCTGGGCACCGGCCCCTGTTGGAAAATGTAGGCACCTGAATCATTTGCAAATCAGCCCCTGTTGAGAGCCAGGAATCACGGGTACATGCCAGTCACTGACAAAGCACTCCCCTGTTGGGAGCTGTGAAATGTGTGCATGCACTGGCCCCTGTTGGGAGCCGCAAAACGCATGCACCCATGCACAAGATGGGGCAGGTCAAGTGCCCGCCACTTGTGGAGAGAGAACCAATCTGGAGTCAAAGCACAAAAAAAATACTGTGCACCCGTGGGGATCCTAACTCTTCCTGAAGCCAACGCCTATCCTGGGAGCCTGAATCTAATTTTCCCATCCTCCCCCCCCCCACCGCCACTGCAGATTGGACTCTGCTCCTTTCAGCTAGCCTGGCTGTCCTGGGGACCCCGTGTGGGTTAGCCTACCAAGTGTAAAGTATCCTGGGACAAATGAAGACTGCCACCTCAGGCCATGGCCTTGACAATCCCTAAACCCAAATGCATAAATCACAGTGAAAGATTACGAGATTCACGAGCAATCAAGATGGCAAACCAAATTCAAAAGCCAATAGCAATCCAGGAAAAAACTCCAGTGACAGTGAAGAAGAAACAGAGGGCAAAAGAACCATTAAAAAAAAACGATGACAGATTGACCAATGAAATAAAAGGGGAGACACAAAAGCAGTTTCAAGAACACAAAGAACAAATGGCAAAGAAATTCCAAGACTTCAAAAAAAGATGCAGACAAAAATAGATGTGGTGGGCTGGGAAGGTGGCTTAGTGGTAGAGTGCTTGCCTCGCATGCATGAAACCCTGTTCCTCAGCACCACATAAGCAGAAAAAGCCAGAAGTGGCACTGTGGCCCAAGTGGTAGAATGCTAGCCTTGAGCTGAAGAGCTGAAGGGCAGCGCCCAGGCCCAGAGTTCAAACCCCACAACTAACCAAAAAAAAAAAAAAAGATGTGGCATACACTTTATTAAAGGATGAAATCAGGGGCTTGAAAGGTGGCTCAGTGGTAGAGTGCTAGCCTTGAGCTGAAGAGCTGAGGGATGGCACCCAGGCCTAGAGTTCAGGCCCCGGGACTGAAAAAAAAAAGATGAAATCAACACTTTGAGAATTGGTATTGGAAGCATAAGTGTATCAATTTCCACAATGCAAACCACAGTGGAAGCCATAAGGAACAGAATGAGTGATATGGAAATAGTATAGCAGGAGTCGAGGATAAAACAGAGAAGCTGGAACAGAAAGTCAAAGGTATGGAAAAAACACCCAGAAATTACCAAAGGAAAATCAAATAATTGACAGACTCAGCCAAGAAATCAAATCTATGTATAATTGAGATCAATGAGGGGGAAGAATTTCAAAGTGGAGACATGGAAAACCAGTTTTCAGTAAGATAAGTAGAGAAAACTCCCCCCCCCATCTCAAGAGAGAAAAATCTCACCCACCTAACAGAAGCATATAGAACATGTAGTAGACAGGATCCTAGAAGAAACCGTTTTAGACACATTATAGTAAAAACAGTAGACTTGAATATCAAGGAATTTATTTTAAATGCTGCAAAAACAAAGAAGGAGCTAAATTACAATGGAACCTCAACACAAGAAAAGCCTGGTATGTTATTATCAAAGCTCTGAAGATCAGCAATTGTCAACCCAAACTGGTGTACCAAGTGAAGCTACCATTTACATTTGACAGTGAAACTAAAACCTTCCATGACAAACAAATACTAAAGGAATTGATGAATACTAAACCAGCACTACAAAGAATACTAAAGGGAGGAACACAATCTGAAGAAAACAAAATCAAGGAAACAGATCAGACAAAAATCCCTACATTTAGTAAGCACAGGAAGAGGAAAGAAGCAAAATACAGGAAAACGAGAAAAAGGCAGGAAACACAACACATCTCTTTATAATTACCCTACATATTAATGAACTCATTTCCCCAATCAAAAAAAAAGGAGCAGCAGATCCATCCATTTACTATCTCCAAGAGATACATCCCATAGCCAAAGATAAAAACAAAGTCTATATAAAGGGATGGAAAAAAATTTCCATGCAAATTATCCTGCAAGAAGGCAGGAGTAGCCATATTAATATCTCATAAAAATAGACATCTCATTAAAATCAGTACAAAAAGACAAAGAAGGTCATTGCATATTAACGAAGGGAATGATATATGAACAGAAAATCACACTGGTCAGTATCTATGCACCAACCAATAAAACACATAAATACATTACACAAATATTCTCATACTTACAAGATAGAACCAAACACAATAATACTGGGAGATTTTAACTCTCCACTCTCACCAAAGGACAGGTTACCCAAACAAAAGATAAGCAAAGAAGCCTCTGAACTAAATGATACCATAACCCAAATGGATTTAACAGACATATACAGAGTTTTCCACCCAACAATGACCCAATACATATTCTTCTCAGGAGCCCACAGAACATTCTCCAAAATAGATCATATCATAGTTCACACAAAGAATTAAGCAAATACAAGAGGACTGGCATAATCCCTTGTATCCCATCTGACCACAGTAGAATCAAACTGATTCATAACAGCAAATCATAGTGTAGAAATTACTCAAAAACGAGGAGGCAACAATGCTTGATAAGAAATGTACTTATTACCTTGCTCATGTAATTGTAACCCTTCTGTACAGTATTTTCACAATAAAAAACATATAACAAAAGAAATTACTCAAATACATGGAGGCTGAACAGCACACTACTGAATAACACCTGGGTCACAGAAGAAATTGAGGAAGAAATTAGAAAGTTCTTATAATTCACTAAAAATGAAAACACATTACAAAAGAACCTCGGATACAGCAAAAGCAGTGCTGAGGCAAAAGTTCATAGCCTTAAGTGCACACATAAAACAGAAACAGCTCAAGAAAATAACCTCATGATGCAATTAAACTTCTAGAAGAGCAAGAAAAAAATCAAATATAAAGCTACTAGACAGAGATAGCAAAGATTACAGCAGAAATCAATGAGATAGACATTTTTAAAACTATGCATAAAATTGATGAAACAAAAGGCAGGGTTTTTTTTAAATAAATAAAATTGACAGACCACTTGCAAGATTAATGAAGAAAAGAAGAGAGGAGAGTCAAATCAATAAGATCAGAGACACCACAGGAAACATTACAACCAACATCCAAGAAATCCAAACGATTATAAAGGACTACTTTCAAAACTTATACTCACTAACAGAAATGGATGAATTTCTAGAATCTGCTTAAATTGAACCAAGAAGGTATAAACCAACTAAATAAACCAATAACATATAACGAGATAGAGGAAGTAATCAGAAGTCTTCCAACAAGGAAATGCCGGGGCCTAGATGGATTTACCATAGAATTGTCTAAGACTTTTAAAAAGGAATTAATAGGGCTGGGAAGGTGGCTCAGTGGTAGAGCGCTTGCCTTGCATGCCTGAGGCCCTTGGTTTGATTCTTCAGCACCACATAAGCAAAAAGAAAAAAGCCGGAAGTGGTGCTGTGGCTCAAGTGGTAGAGCACTAGCCTTGAGCTGAAGAGCTGAGGGACAGCGCCCAGGCCCAGAGTTCAGGCCCCATGAACGGACCCAAAAAAAAAGAAAGAAAAGAAGAAAAGGAACTAATACCAATACTCCTCAAACAATCCTAAACTCATTCTGTAAAACCAGTATCAAACTCATCCCCAAACCAGGTAAGGATCCAACAAAAAAAAAAAGAAAACTACAGACCAATTTCTCTGATGAACACAGATGCAAAGCTCCTCAATAAAATATTAGCCAACAGAATCAAACAAATTTTAAAAATAACACATTATGACTATCCCACAGATGCAAGGCTGGTTTAACATACACAAATCAATAAATGTAATCCAACACATCAACAGAGCCAAGATAAATAACCACATCATCATCTCAATAGATGCAGAAAATACCTTCAACAAAATACAACACCCATTCATGTTAATAGCTTTAGAGAAACTAGGAGTAGAAGGAACATTTCTTAAAACAATAAAAACCAAATAGGACAGACCAACAGCCAATATCATATTAAATGAAAAAAAAGCTAAAACCATTTCCCCTAAACTCAGGAACAAGGCAAGGGTTCCCACTCCTCTCCTCTTCAATATAGTTCTGGAATCCTTAGCAATAAAGCAAGAATATGACACTAAAGGGATCCACATAGGGAAAGAAGGAATTAAACTATCCCTATTTGCAGATGCCATGATCTTATACCTGAAGGACTCAAAAAACTCCACTCCCAAATTCCTATAACTAACTAACCACTTCGGCAATGTAGCAGGATAAAAAAATCAACCCACAAAAATCAGTAGCCTTTCTGTATGCCAACAATGTACAAGCCAAAGGGGAAATCATTAAAACAATCCCATTTGCAATAGCCTCAAAAAAATCTAGGAATTAACCTGACCAAATACTTACAAGATCTATTTAATGAAAACTATAAAAAAATGTAAAGAAAGAAATCAAAGAGGACACCAGGAAATGGAAAGACTTTTTATGTTCATGGATAGGTAGAATCAATGTTGTGAAAATGGACATACTGACAAAAATGATATACACATTCAATGAAATTCCCATCAAAATCCCAATAACATTCTTTTTCTTTTTCTTTTTCTTCTTTTTTGTCAGTTGTGGGACTTGAACTCTGAGCCTGGGCGCTGACCCTCAGCTCTTCAGCTCAAGGCGAGCACTCTACCACTTGAGCCACAGCGCCACTTCCAGTTTTTTTAGTAGATTTTTTTTCTTTTGTTGGTTGTGGGGCTTGAGCTCTGGGCCTGGGCATTGACCCTCAGCTCTTCAGCTCAAGGCGAGCACTCTACCACTTGAGCTACAGCACCACTTCCGGTTTTCTAGTGGTTTATTGGAGATAGGAGTCTCACAGTCTTTCCTGCCCGGGCTGGCTTTGAACTGTGATCCTCAAATCTCAGCCTCCTGAGTAGCTAAGATTATAGGCATGAGCCAATGACATTCTTTACTGAAATAGAGAAAATAATCCAAAAATTTATATGAAACAACAAAAGACCTAGAATAGCCAAAGCAATTCTAGGCAAATGAAGCAATGCCACAGTTATCACAATACCAGATTTCAAGCTCTATTTTAGAGCCATAATAACAAAAACAGCTTGGTATTGCCACAAAAATAGACCCAAAGATCAATGGAAAAGATTAGAAGACCCAGAAATAAAACCACATACTTATAGTTATCTGATATTCAGCAAAGGAGCCAAAGAAAACCAGTGGGAAAACATAGCCTCTTCAACTCTTGATGTTGGGAAAACTGGGCAGCCACAAGCAGAAAATTAAAAGTGGATCCTAGCTTGTCACCATGCATTAACATCAACTCAAGATGATTAAAGGCCTCAACATCAGACCCAAAACTCTGAAACTACTGCAAGACAGAGTAAGAGAGATATTAGAACCTCTAGGCACAGGTAGGAACTTCCTGAATAGAGTCCCAGGGGCACAACAGATAGGAAAGAGACTCGACAAATGGAACTACCTTAAAATAATTCTGCACAGCTAAAAATATATTTATTAAACTAGAAAGATAGCTATCCAATTGGGAAAAGAAAAGATCTT